CCAACGACAAAGTAGCCAGACCATTTCATCATACCAAACAAGAACGCTGACTGGTTAGACCGCAAAGTCTAAGCTTGGTATATTTGGGGAAATTGTTCTGGTTTCTAAACGCAGCGATTTTCAAGTGACCGTGCGGTTTGTGAGCTCTCTAAGTGAAGAACCTACGGAAGCCTGTTAGTGCCAATTTTAACTTGGCAAAAATATTTTTTCTTGCGAAGTAATGCAATACCAGTAATACAACAGTTCATTAAGTTAACATTAAGGTAACATTAAGTGCAGGTGATTTCCCGCAAAACAGTACTCGAGGAAAGCTAAGCATGACATTACGCAAACTCGTAAGCTGCTACTTCCCTCTTGGTTTGTTATGATCACATATTGTCGTTTTTGGCAGCAAATCATGGCATCATCGAAAGTTTAAGGACCCTAAAATGACATTTGGTCTGTTACGGAGAGAAAGAACAAGTCATCGATTGATGATGTTGCTCTTGTCATGCTGGAGCAGAGACAGCAGTTCGAAGTTATGCACGGAGATCGATGGACTCATCAGTCGTGTTTATTGGCTGGATTTAAGATCTCATGGTCACACGTCACTTTGCGGATTTCAGTGCTACACCTACGTGGATGTGAGCAGAGAAAGAGAAAACGACTTAGAAGGAGAAAATAATTGCTCAAAGGGACCCAATTGTTTGTGGCACTTGGATTCCTAAGGTTAAGCCTTATGGCTTGTGTGTATAAGCGCGTGCATAGATGGATTCTCAAGGAAGATAATTTGGTGCAAAGTGAGTTCATCCACGAGTGATCCTAGGATTGTTGCAGGACATAATGAAGAAGTGGTTGCAGCGATTCAACCATGTCGATCCAAAGTGAGAGGTGATTGTGGCACAGAAAACAAGCATGTTGCAGTTATTCAGTCTTATCGCGAGAGAGATTCTTTTGTTTACGGTCCAAGTACGAGCAATCAACGCATTGAAGCGTTTTCGAGAATGCTGCGGATGCAGTGCTGCCAGTTTTGGATTGAGACTTTGGGGTTCCGGTAGGATGAGGGCTACTTTGATGGCGGTCTGAACCTTCTGCAGCTTGCCTTTATGTCCGTTGTGCAGGTATTTAAAAACTGTAATAGCGCCATTTCACAACCATCTAAATAATTTGACCAAGATTTGTGAGACTATCTTTGGGTTTTTTAATTTGGAACGACATAGACAAGACCACTGCTGTCTGGAACACTCATTCCATTCGTCTCAACAAGAATCAAAATGCTCCACATGGCAAACTATGTGTCATGTATGGAATACCAGCACTGTACGGCACACGAGAGTACAAGGTATGGACTCAACTTGGGTGGAGGCCTGTCGTGAGTACAGTGCCCGTTTGACCAAACATCAGCGATGGTTTTTGAACTGCAAGAACTGTTTCGGATACTAATGGTAGAAAACAACCTCGAAAAAACTACCGAACTATAACAGGCGATTATAAATTACTTGACATTCCGAGACATTTTAACAGAGGCTCTGGAATTTAAGAAAATGCCTTTATTATGACACAACAGCAGTTAGCAGCAGAATTGCCTTTAACAAGAACATTGTAACTAAATGTAAACAGGAAATAAAAGTGCAAACAAGTTAGTGACAGTCTCCTCGTGTCACCTTCGTTATTTTCTTTGAATCATTTCATATTTAGAATCATGATTGACAATAATGTCATCGTCAGATTTCAGCTGATCAAAGAAAGATAATAATCGACCAGTAACTTTGATATTTTACTGCGGTGCGTCATGTACGGTTAGACAAAACACGAGAGGGCGCAATCGTAAATCCCAAAACTACGGCGTTATTTCGCAAACCTATAGGGTTATTTTCTCAAAATTTTGGGGTTATTTCGCAAACTTATTGCATTTTTTCGCAAATTTAATGCGTTATTTTGCAAACATACTAAGTTATTTGCAACATTATTGCGTTTGCGTTATTTTGCAATAAAAAATATCTTGGGGGGAGTTAAAATTGGCGCTAATAGGCTTCCATTATTTAATAACCCAATAGAAAAACCATGTGCCTGTGGCGAGGATTTCCGTTACCGCGTGCGCTTTGAATGGGTCTTTAGAAGGCACGGTTGTGGATATACAATGTAGCAGTCGTAGTAATATGCATATTTATGATAAAAGTATTTTGAAGGGTGACGTGTTTAGTCTGTTGTCAAAATGAATTTCAAGTGCAAAATGGATGGTCGTTGATAGCTGAAATACTGGAATCATTTTTGAGTCAACACTTTGTTTTTACGGGAGAGTAAATGTGCTCACTTTATGTCTGGAGCAAGAATTGTTATAAACAAGTGCAGTGACGTTTCACTGGGTTTTCCCGATGGCCCCCTTTAATGGCGCGAAGGATTGTGTTGATTTCGCCCAGAGCGACTGTAATTGAAAAGCCTGGACGGAACGGTGGCGCCGTACTAAAGTTATCACAACACTAACTGCTACAGAGCCTGAAAGTTGCCCCCCCCCCCGTGGTGCGCCTCCAGAACCCTTAGATGGGAAAAATAAAGGGCCCAAAGCTGAAACTTCGCGATTACATTTTCGTTAACTTCTTGAAAAAAGTCGCCTCCAAAAAAGGCTTTCGTAAAATTACTGTTTACTACTTAAATAACACGAGGCAGTGGCGTATCCGGCGGAGCAACTTGCCCCCGACCTATTTGTGTCTGTTTGTTTGTTTGTTGGGGTGTTGGGGTGTTTGTTTGTTTGTTTGTTGGGGTGTTTGTTTGTTGGGGTGTTGGGTTATTTGTTGGGTTGTTGGAGGTGTTTGTTGGGGTGTTTGTTTGTTGGGTTGTTGTTTGTTTGTTTTTACCAAGAACACTTCATAGGTGAGTGGGAAAGAAAGTAATTGGGATATCTCTTTATCAAATTTTAGCACCAAGACCTTAGACAACAACACCAGCAAATAAAAGCTAGGATGTCAGGACCGTGAGTTAAGCTTCTGATTTTTTCTCCCAAACGTCATGCTGAATGAGCCCGAAGCTGCATTCCCTTTTGACTCCCCCCCCCGCACCAACAACTGGATACGCCACTGATACAAGGATAAAATTCTGACATGAGGGTTCTTGCAGTGGTTTAAGAATTCATCCTTCCAAATATTGTACAACGTGTGAGGGTTGCCGGGCCCCATGTACATCCCCATAAACGGGTCGCGCGAGGGTTCTGGAAGCTCGCTGCGTGACCTTTACCTTCAGGCTAAATATTAAATATGAAATTAAACACGTTTACCCAAGCCCAGTTGAATCCACATAAAACCAGAGCTCAAAGTCCAGGCATGGATTCTTCCAGTTTTGGACTGTAAAGTGGACTTGTAAAGACAACAGTATAATTTCATCATAAAACTAAGTGGACATCAAATGGGAAGCCGTGAGAAACTGACCAAAGGAAAAATATACACATATTCAAATATATTCAAGGCAATGTCGAAAATGTTGCAATATTGCTGTCCCCATTGTTTTATCCCTCACATCTAATTCTACAATACCTCAATACAAAACGACATTCTACAAAGAACGACGTACAGCCGATCAGTACCGTCGAAAGAAATCGAATTTAGTACTTAGCATACAAATTATTTTCCATTAAGTCAATTGTTAAATGCAACGAAAACAAGTCTACCAGCAATATTTCAAAGTTAATTTTATCAAATGCAAAAAGGAAAATGTCCGCGAACGAGTGTCAAATTGAACTTAGTTGGCCTATTACATGTATTTGTCCTGCATGTACAAAACCTAAGCTTTTGCATTGGTCATTTCCTGTGGTTTATTGTGTAAAAAATGATATTAGCAAAAACAAATACAATTGTAATGTTAAACCTTGGAGATAAAGGAGGATGACACATCCTTGTTTAAGAATTAAAATTAGCAGAGTAGCAAAGTGAACACTAGCCTCCTTGTTAATGACCTTAGCAAACATTCAGTTTTTTCTTCCAAGTAGAACATCAATTATAAAGGCACGGGCTCCAATGTTTGTCGATATTACAAATACAAGGTGAATTTAAAAAATTTCCGATAAAAATTGCTTTCATATAATACACAAAAAATGAAACTACTTGAATTATTCAAAATGCATATGTACATTTATTTGTATGTATAAGCTCAGAATAACAACATATGGGCATTGTGTACCTCGTCAAGGATTACAAAATAGCTCAGTGTTCCAAAATAAAACATCTCACACTGTGTTCATTGATACGTCTGTACGCATCTCGAATGTATGTCAATTCCATATGGCCTTGGTATTACACCATCTGTTATTCCAATAAACGGTCAAAGTATCAAATGCCACACTGAAAAGCGTGAGGATGGCCAAACTCACATAACAGAAAGATATCAAAGATACCTTGCGCTTCGTTTCATGTTGGCAAGTCAATAATTGTGAATGTTTTCACCAGGAGCTTAAAACGATCTGTTAGACGTTTTGCTCCTCGCAAATTCTCAACACAGACCTCTGAAATTTAGTGCATAAAGGATTCACAAAATAAATTTTTCTTAGAATCACTTTTTGTGTATCTCTGTACTTTTCTTCAGTGCATGAAGAGTGTTTGACATCTGTTTTGTGCTACATGAACTGAAAAGTGCACTTTTTTTTATTAAACATTCAATATTGACCAAGCATTTCTGTACAAGGGAGAGCGCTTTTGCTTTGATGTAAATCCAGGAGGTCATGGTTCAGTTTGCATGTCTTTATGTTCAAATTGTGAACTCAAAATTTACTATTTGAAATTATTTCTACTAAAAGGTTGCTTGCCTACGCATACACTTGCCATACACTTACACAGCAATAAACTGCCAAAGGAAATGAAATCTGCAATAGCAGTGTGTAGCAAAATCTAGAAATTTCCAGTCAACAAATCAGTGCAACGTTGAGGGTCGGTGCCTTGGATGAAATCATAGGTTTTGCTCATGAATGTGCAAATGTGCAATAGCATAAAACCAAAAAAGCTCCACAATATGGGATAAAAATTGTAAAACAAAAATTTAAAATGAGGTAAATTGAAACCCAAAGGTGCTCTTTCAAGGGATTCAGTGACACATTTCTATTTCATGATCTCTTTAACACTATCTTCAACACTGAAGGCCCATTGCGAATGTATCACTGTTCGAGAGGGACATTCGCTTATTGTATGTAACGTCAATATCATGTGCATGCCTTTTCCAGTTTGACTGTCGTCGAGCAAAAAAAAATACCAACAGATGCTATGAATATAAAACCCCGAGATGTACGCGCGTTCAATACACTCTTAGGACAGCAATGTTGAATTTTGCGGGTAAGGTACTGTGTTTTGCAATGGAATGCAGTTGACGGTTGTGCTTCTACTAGAATTACACACTTGCACTGTGTTTGACTGGTCACTTTTATAAACTAGAAAACGGGAAATAGAGCCTGTGTGTCTATACACACACCATGCACAGCGCAGTTAACGTAAACCATCGCACAGTTTGGCCACTGCGTAGCTCCTTGCTTCAAGCTGAGGTGATTGAGATGCCATCACAGCGATAGCTGTCGTTATTAGTCTTTGCCGCACCTACATTAAACATAGACCAGCCTTGCATCCCACCTTCAAATAATTTCACTGAAAAGCACAAGCAAGATTAATAAACGGTCCATTTAGTACAACGTTTAATATAGTGCATGTCCTTGTAAATGCACCTTTGTATTTCATTAAACCTAATTTGAAATTTTCATATTGCCGTTATTGGGCATTATCGGTTCCTTTTCTGTTTTATACCAATGCAGATTTGCATATTTTTAAGCTTAAACATGATGTCGTTTCAGGAAGAAATCTGAATCATGAAGCTATTTCAGCACCAAGAATTTCCAGAATTTTGGACCTTGCCGTATTAAAATGTTCTTTTCCTTGTTGAGTCATTGCCGTTTGAGTACAGTATAGTGCGCAACGTTTTATCACAAATATTTTCAACGAGCCAGTTTCTGGTTCACATTTGGGATTAAAAACCTTCAAATGAACATGGGCTTCGTGAAATGACATCACAAAAAGGTATGTCAAATAGCTTTCGATTGAGGGAAGCAGAAAGTTACCAACTAAAAGGGAAGTTCCCAAGGAATAATTCAAGTCATGGGCTGTTTAATTAACATTTGGCATCCGTTTCCCGAGTCAATGAGAGGTGAACATGTTGTCAGTTTCGATGACTGAATCTTGGTGGCTGAATCTTGCTGGCTGGTGACAGATTCTTTCTGGCTGATGTAGTCACCAGCCAGCAAGGCATCGAATCTCTGATGTGAAAAAGTGGCCAGTAACACCAACGTTAATGGACTTTATTCCAAATTCAGCCATATTGAAATTCTTCATTTTTAAACTTGAAAGCATCAATAAAAAAAATCAATGAAACTTCCTATCAAATTAGTACCCGTCTACTCTGATGAATAGTTTCATATTTGCGCAAACACATATTTATAGTGCTTTGCGCCAGATTTGGAAAAATCGAGAGGAAGGTTTAGAACTCACATGAATTGTAAAACAGTCTGATACTGTTCCGTTTAACCGTTAACAATTTATGACAGATTCGATGAACAAGGTTAAGAATGGCTTCCTCGTTTTGATTACTGCAGAATCGAATACAGTGCCGGTTTCTCACATTAACCTTTCATCAATTTACAACCTGTCCAAAGAATTTTGCAAAATTGAGATGAGGCAAATATTTTGAACCAGACTAAAAAATAAAATACTTTGTAACAATAAATGAGGCTGGAAAGCTGTCTGTATTTTCACAGAAGTTAATGGCATTGAGGAATTGTATTAAATGGATTCATGTTGCTCTGTTGCATTTTGTTGTGCCTGTAGACGTGTGACCGAGGTGTTTGAGTATACCCGATCCGACTACCCACCGGTGTAAAACGAGGTCTTTATAGCAAAATGCAACCATACGAAGCCTGGCGACGATACATAATAGATACCTGACACACCGGACAGCTTCAGCACCATTATGCAGCTTTAACGACACAAAAGAAGGAATGAAAAGAAGTCGGTGAGCCGGCTTGCGTAGAGTAAGGGAAAGGACGGTACAAAGGATGTCCTTGGTTTCAGTGCTTTTTTCCCCTCGGTTTGTTTCCTGTTAGAAATTTCCTGCCAACTTTGTAGCCATCAAGTTTGCTTTATTCAATGAGTTACTGACTTTAATCTTCCTTTATTAGCATTGTAAATAGTCGCATGCATGTCAATAACGGTTTGAATATTGGCATTTACTGTAAAGGCCTCGTTCACTAACGGCATGAGGGAGTCGGATAATTAGTGTTAACTTTCTATTGCGATCTGGTGGAACAAACCTCTTTCCACAAAAACTCTACTTTCGTCTTGGTAGTTGAACCTTAAGTCTTTCTGCTGATTTCTTCGTTCTGAGCTCCTAAGGTTTGCGTGTTTGGTATGTGGTGCAGTATCTCCTCCCACTTATCATGGAACTCATCCAGGGGCAGCAATTTGCAGCTGGTGATGCCTCGTCTCCTCAGCGGCTCCTGAAGGGCCTCCTGCTCGTGGCGTATCATGTAACGGTTGAGTATGTTGCAGTGCTGCATCGCTTTGCAGACTTCGGACGCCTTGATCCCAGGAAATAGGTCTTGCACCAGAAGCAGGGTGGGTACAAAGGGCACGTCGGTGCGCAGCACGCAGGGGAAAGTCATTTCACGGTAGTACACACTATAGACCTTCTGGAACTGCTTGCGGGAAATTGGCGCCTGCACACCCTCCTGTGACTGCACTGTCACCCGGTATATCTCCTGAGTCTTACCGTCCACTTTCTGCATGCGCCGGAACCCGTCTTCTGTGGGGATGAGAAAATTGGGAGCAAAGCAAGTCGACTCTGACGAAGAGTCCCTTAGATCATCGGCTGTACTCGATTTGCTCTGTTGATTTGTGGGTGGAACTTTGGTTAAACCTTCAGCGAAGACCCTGGGGACTGCCTGGATATGGATGGGCGAGCCTAGTTGGATGACAGGTTTTGGCGCAATCGGTTGCAGCGGACGGACCGTTACTCGAACATCCGAGAGCTTGACTTTTACAGTAGGCGAACGCTGTGGTAGGGGAGTGGTGGTGGAATTCTGGTTGGGTTGCGGTGCAGAGTTTTTGGTGGGATGTGGTGTACAGTTTTGAGTGGAATGTGGTGTAGAGTTTGGAGCATTTTGTAGCGTAGCAGTTTGAGTGGGCTGTTGTGTGTAGGTTTGCGCGGGCTGAGGTTCAGACGTTTGAATGTGTCGGGGCGTCGAATTACGTGGCTTCTCCAAACACGGGCCTGACTTGTCTTTAGTGGGTTCGCTGACAACGGATGTGCTTGCTACTTTATCGATATTTGTGGGATCACTCAGAAGTGAAGCCGCAGCAGGGATGTTGAAGGAGTCAGTCCCATTATGCCTAATAACTGACGGACGTGGAGAGTTGCACATAGACCTCTCCTTTTTCTCGCCTGGAGAATCAAATGAGATGGAAGTGTCCTGCTTTTCAATTTCCTCATCGGAAGGTGGAGACTTAAAAACGCGAAAAGCCTCGTTCACCATTATGTCAATGTATAATGGGTTATTAGTCCCAGGAACCCTCGTTGTGGGATCTGGCTCAGTTGAGTTGGGCTTTTTGCTCGAGTGTTCTGCTCGCGCAGTACTGGTACAGATTCTTTCCTGCATGGCATTCCCAGAAAGTGACTTCGAGGTCGCGTTCTTCAACTCTGTGCTATCAGAGGTAGATACCGTGGTTTGTACTTGGGCACGAGTTTCGTTTTCCTTGGTGCTACGAGCTGAATCTGGTCCTTCAAACAACATGCCCTCAGCTCTCTCCATAAGCTTGGAGATAAAACGTCCTCTTGTTTCTAGCTGATGATTTCGAGTCATGTTCCCCGAGGGCTCCTTACCTCCCTTTCCTCGGGGAACCTCATTTGCCAGCTTTACAGACAGAGCGACCAAGTCTTCCGTAGATGTGGCTGTCCCGTGATGGTGAAGAATTCCAGGACAGCTGTCGGCACAGAGCTCCACTGCCTGAGAAATTTTCGAAGGTACCACTACGCCTGTATCAGACCGCATGGAGAGTCTTATTGCACCGTTCTCTGCGATATTTCCAGGATTTGAATGAGTCTGCATCTGACAGTTTCTTGTTGAGTCGTTCGGATCATCCCTGTCAGGAGTGTGCCGCTTCTTCAATCTTAGATCGAGAGCACGGTCATTTTCTTCCCAAGCCACAGAGCAGGGAATATGGGTCCTATTTGATATGGGTTTGGAAATGTTGTCATCAGCGCCCAAGTCGCTGACTCCACTTTTGGGCTTCTTGGCCATAGCCTGAACTACGTTGTCTTGAATAACCCGCTTCTTTGTGTTTTTTGCAGTTGACAGTGGTGATGACGGCGAGTCGGAGCTTTGTTCATGGTACAGAGCGCCATGTGATGTACACGGGTACCTAGGATTGAAAGAGGACTGATAATGCAACGGCTGGTGAGAGTCTAGTTTGCTTATAGGCTCTTCTTTAACATACATATCTTCCATCTGTCTGAGCCGGCCATACCCATATACTAAGCTTCGTTGAGCCTGGATGTCAGTGGGTGAAGACATACATTCAACACCGCTATCCAGGGACTCCACGCTTTCTGTCTCATTTCTGGAATCGGTGGACAGTCTCATACTATGTTTGGGGTTGCATGGCACTTTTGGTTGAGAAATTTCGGGGTGTAACCTATGTGGTTTCTCGGGGTATGTAGCTTGCCCGTCCCCATGGGCTAAACTCCGAACGTCCACAATTCTTGGCATCATATCTTTTTGGGTCTCGTGAAGGTAAGCTCTTTGAAACTCCCTATCCAAAACAGTCGCAGACCTTGCCCGCCGATTTACCCGCTGCTTTTGAACATTTACGTTTTTGTCAGGTTTCTGCTCGTACAGATGGGGTGCATCTTGCTGGTATGGAGTGGCTGAACCTCTTGAGTGGATGAATCTATTTTCTGTGCAAGTGACTTGCTGCCTCTGATCTTGCATGTACCAAGGCATCAAACCATTACGTTCAACAGCCGATAAGGGACCACTATGAACCTCTTGCGGGTATGTCTCGACAAGCGGCCTGGGATACTGCAGTGTTCCCTCCTGATATTTGTACTTTTCTCTAAGCATCTCCACTCTTGTTATCATTCCTCGAAGGCGACGAATCTCCATATCAAGGGAACTGTATGCAACAGGTGACACTGCATGGGAGTGAGGCCTGGAAAAGGCGCTCTCCCTATGTCTGCCACAAGATAAGTCCAGAGAGGAAGCATGTGTAATGCCAGAGAAGGCAAATCTATCGTCATTCATAGCGTAAGGATGCATATCTGGCCGGCCCCGCATCTGAAGTTGATTAACGGTAGATGGCAGGCTCTGATTACATGCACCAGACATGTGAAACTCTGCAACGTGTTTGTCTTCGAACTTCGGTGTTACGTTAATGGGCCACTGCTTGCTTTGATCCACCGCTACTGCTTTGGGAGACAGAAGTTCGTTAGGCATGTCTCGAAATGATTGTCTCCAGTTCAAATCTTGGTTTGTGAAGGCGCTTCCCAAGATCATTGATCTGGAGTGGTAGTCCTGTGGGACCTTGGGTCCTCGGATACTGACATTTTCACTACTAAAATCGGAGGCGCCGACGCTCAGTTGACGCAGTTTGTGGGCGTTTGTTGCCGATGTGTGGTACTTGAGAAACTCGCTGGAGAAGTTTCTATTGTGGTACATCGCGGGGTTTACGTCGGTAGTTGTTAATGTTGCTGAAAGGGACTCAGCTGCTCTTGGTGTACCATCAGAAGCCTTCAGGTGAGATGTTGGTGGAGCATCCAAGTGCGCTGATATACGGGAACTTCTACATGAGTGTTTCGTATCCATAATGTCTGTTGTGTCTGTAGGGAGGTGTATAACCGACACAAACCTCCCTTCTTTAGTTATGCTCAAAAATATTGTCTTTGGCGAAGGACTTTCATTGTCAGTGATCTTGTGTCAGGATGAGAAAAGGACATCAAACATTTGTGCCATGTTCTTTTGTGGGACTGCTGTTTTATGGAGCAGGTCTACAAATTCGATTCTTTAGTCCTTTATGAAATGCCAATCAAGCGCAGCCTGTTGCTTGTTTCGTCGGTCGAGTCCAATGTCCATGGATGTGACACGGTACAACCTTCAGGTTATCTTAGTGACGGCCAGGTTGACTCAGCTTGTCGGAACGGCATCGATTACATCAGTGTGGAATGGCCATCGGTTGGCAGAATTCCCACGTTTATCGTATCATTCCTGCCAAAAAAAAGCATAACCACATGTACACATTAACTCGATGAAGGAGCCTCTAAAAGCATGAACTCTAGAGAATCAATGCCCTTGGCAAACCAGATAGTGCTCAGGATTCTTAGCATGGACATACTACTTCTTTGCATGTACAATAAAACGTTTGTCATTTAAGCTTGAACTGTCAATCTAGGACATGTTTGGTAATTGGCCATTAGTGGCCACTTTGTGTTTGCCAGATACCGTAGATATATTTCTTGGATAGGTTACCAGGGAAAATCGACCAGAGGTCGACAAGTGATGGCTGACCAAAAGCATACGCTTCCAATTTTTATGTCTTAATAATTCGCAAATACACAGTGATCCATGTGATTTCCCTCGTACAAAACTCTGCACCTTCTAATGAGAATGCAGGCCAGTAATTTTGACGACAAAATACTCTGTTGCAGGCTGGAAAATGACTACTACCACTGCTCTTGTGGCCATGCCTGTTTTCTCTCTGAACGAAAGTCAAGGTCTTTCGAAATTGCAAATGCAGTATCATATTTCCCATCTGCTCTACCAGCCACAGAGATATTGGAGTTACTAGATGCTGTCTCAGTGAGTACACGTTCATGTTATTCTCGCGTGAGCAGAGCTGGCAATGTTACTAAATTGCGCTGGGCATGCACGTGATTCGTGCATAAGGGCAAAAGATTCCTATTTCGCTTTTCAACTTGGCGTTGACGCTGTAGCAAGCGGTAGGCGAGTAGTTTTGGATCAGACTTAATAATGAAGGGGGAAGCGATAATGGAGTAGCGCAGGTTAGTAGTACATGTACGCGCGTAGTTCCACCCTATAAGAGAGAAGACAAGTTGTATTCGTTTTGTTGGGTGCAACATTGGAGGTACACAATATATATAAGTTGGATGCAGATGGCCCAATAAAAATAATGTTACATGTTAGCGTTATCAGCTGCCGTACCTTGCTGTGACGCATGGCATACTCTGGGCTTAAGGCTTCACACAGTGATCCACGTCCAATCAAGGTGGAATCTAGAACCACTTTTACTTGGGGGGAGGCTAAAATGTTTGAAATTTCTTTACTTAATCTTTTGTAGCCTTTCAGGGGTCTTAAGTTTAGAGAGGGGGACTTTTTACATGCTTCAGAAAACCAGGACAATGAAATAGCTACATTTTCTTATCATAATTCAAGCATAAACCAAATTATGTTTCCCCTGGGGGCATGACCGCCATTATATCCGACATGGCTTTACATGAATCTGTATGAAACATTTGAAAGAGAAATAGACCACTACCACGCATGCTAGTCTGTAGTCCAGCTTTGATAGAATTTAGCCCCGCTGTGGCTTACACAATGAGATAGACAATCATTGTTAGCGTTTATTGGAAAGTAAAATCGCGTGTTGGCACTATGCCAAGAATTATGCATGTGTAAGTTGGAACAGAAACGGGCTGTTCCGGAGTCCTTTGTTTTTTATGTTTGGGACTATGGAGTTGTTTGATTTGATGTTGATACCTACAAATAGCCCTGCTGTATCGAAGGATTCGCTGCCCATAATGCAGATGCTTTGAACGATGAGCGAATTAAGGAATGGACACTACTTTCTGGAATGACGAAACTGTTGCATTCAAGAACCCCCGAACTTCTGTCACGTTTGACATGGCGCCTCCATGGCCATATGCTCGACATACGCCCCCAGCTTAAGCTCCCGTGACCATTTCGTGAATAATGTGTTGGGATTTAATGCGACCACCGGGAAGTTAGTGTCACTTATCCCATGCACGCAATGTTATCTTAAAGTGGCAGACTGACCTCTTGAAACTATTTGAAATCGTTTTCGTTAAACTTTCATTTAGCAAAAAATATTGAACAAGTTATTCTCCGGTTCGGTCCAAAACAAAGAGAGTATAGGATTATTTATTTCATCGGGCATTACTGGTATAGGCCAAGGCGTGTAGCTTCATTGATATTTCTGTGCAAATTCAGTCATTTAAACTTATATCCTTCAAGCCATGGATATAATCATAATTATGTTAAATTATGAGACTTTAACTGACTGCATTTATTCACGGACTTGCACGATGAGTTATGTGAGACACTGTTTACTCTGACAAACACGAGTTTGCACTCTCGTGTCGCGGAAATTTCGAGCACCTTCAGTTTCATTTTTATTCGCCGTGGAATTTGAATGTGCAGATGGACCGGAGCCAACTGCATGTACCATGAAATGGAAAGTTTAAGCATTGACGATATAAAGCAACCGGTTTATTTTACACATTAACCCTAACCATGCCAAATCAAACAAGTTTTCTGTGATTTTCACCTCACTCCATCGACAGAAACAATGCTCATACATAAAAAAAACCTGCTTTATTCCTTGAACTCAAATTAAGTTCGGGTACTCGCACCCATCTTGACAAAAGTCAAAAGTGAATTTCTTTTTTTGGGTGATACCTATATAGGCTTATTATATAATTTCAATATATTTTGATTAGGCTTAGGCCTATATCTCATTTTCATTAAGACACTGTTTGCTTCTATAACTTAAGAACGAGCCTCGGCTCACTGTGTGACTCCTCGCATCACCACTTTTGTTGCAGTTAGGATTTCATATTTTGCTTTCTTTTGTTATTTTTGCTCTATTCTGCATGCACTAGTTAGTGGTATGAAAGAGAACAAATTCGTTAGTAACCGTCGAAGGCGTGGCTAGGCTTTACTAGAGGGGGCAAAGTGGGGCGCCAGTATCTTATTGGAGACACGAGCTTTCAGTGGTGCGGTTTTGGGGGGCAAGTTTTTGTTAGCCTTGTTCAATATCCATTCATGCGTTTTTGTTTGTTTTTTGTTGGAGGCACCTGGGGGCTACACCGATAATTTGTGGGGGCATGTGCTCCCCCCCCCCCGCTATGCCACTGGTAACCGTTACGCCCTATTTGCAACAAGACCTTAAAAACATGTTCGAATTCAGCGTCACACAGTTCGTGAGAGTTATACACTCACAGCACATCACTACGGTAACTCTACTTTTTACTGGTATAACACAAAATTGAATTTCCGTGCAGGATTCTTCGGATAAGTTCACATATTGGTCTCAGTCCTAAACCAAAGTGTATTGACATAGAGTAAGGGTAATTTATTCGGCAGTCTCAAGTCACCTCTGTAATTCGATCGCTGAACTGCGGAAAGACAGCCTAATCGTGGCGCGTGCGTTACGTATAGTAACCTGCTATAATAATCATCAAGCATAACGAGTACAGATGCAGGCAGGCATGATGGACTTACACACACGTCACGGTATACTGCAGAGTTAATGCATGCCACCCATTCACCAGTTTTGCACACAGAAAGCCTCAACTCAACAACGTAGTGATTTTCCGATAGCTGCGGGAAAAATGGTCTAACATGTTAAAGTTCCTACCTGATTTTAGTGCGACCAGTTCCAAAAATTATTCAACATGAGCATGCGAATTGCACACACCAGTTCGCCCTGTCCATGAGGTTATGCGTGCGCTGCGTCGTTACAACTGTGTGTTAAGAACTTCTATAGAAAAGTGTTGAGTTGCTGAACTGCTGTTGTGGCTTCGTGGACAGATCCGGCAGCTTGCACGCGATCGCGGTACCAGCACATTAACAAAATTGTGAGAAATGATGCTCTGGGTATTTATACTCATTTCAGCCAACCACGCCAACGCAGCGGATTGGCGCTTATAAATGTGTGGACGGCGTCACGGCTGGTCGCGTAGCCCGCGGGCCCGCCGAACAAAAGATGTAGCTGTTGTCATCCAGCCGGCATACCGGGCTGCGTATGATCTGGCAGTGTTGAATAATTTGATGCTGGTATTTTTTTCATGATGCTTGAGGGAGGCGGCCTGCTGGCGTTGGCTTACTTTGTGTTTGGACTATCACATTATCAGCTTCTATGCCATGCTTTTGTTATCACATAACTGTTTTTCGACATAATACGGTCCAATAAATTAGGTTTCAATTTCCTCATTGTTTCTGTACTGCTACCCATCACGGCAGGCGAGGTTTAGCGCGATCATAATGTGAGACAAACAGCTGTCAGTATTAACGGCATCATTTTTGTAACTTAATTTCGAATGATTTGGTTGTATGCTTGTGTCTTTGTTGTCCCAAAAAGACATTTCATAATGACCCATTGCCATCGTTTTTCTCGTCCAAACAAATTCAATTCGATTTTGCACAAACTCTGGTGCACGTTGTCAACGTTTATCGCTTGCTTAATTTAATGTTTTGAAAGAAACGATTTATTACATTTTGCTGGGCATTACAAAAAATGTATCACACAACATGTTGGGGCAGATAAGAGATCAGTGATGTATGACCATGGGAGTCTTTTGTGTAAATTTACAGGCGAGAATGCTGCATGAAAATAATTCAACAACATATTGAACATGACTAATAAAATTCAATTGTCTCTCTGTTATTTATCTTTTCGGGGTGCAAATTGCAAATTTAGAAGGGAAATGATCACCGGCATCTGTGCAAATTTCAGTCTCTTGTTACACGAATTATTAGTTATCATCTATGAACAGAACTACTAGCAAATATTGTTTGTATATTGTGGTCAAGAATACTCCCCTCCCACCCACACACAGCCAGCTTCAATGACTGCCTACCTAAGGAAGAGAATCAGAATAGCGAAGAAACACACCACTCATTCTTCCTATGCCCCAGTCGGTACAAGGATGGATGCATAATCAAGTTTTTTTTGGGGGGGGGTTATGGGGGAGTGAAAGATTTGGTGATTTCTTTGGGTAACCTTTTAGGGCCTGTCATAAGGGTTGAGAATAACATTAGGGGGTTACAGTCTTGGGGAAGAAAGAAAATGAAAGAATCCAAAACAGTACGTTTCTCCATTATAGTTTAAAGGCAAAAACATCCTGCCCCGCCCTCTTAGTAGGAGGGGAGCCTGCCCTCTTGAGCTTCCAGCGAGCTTCCAGCTTTAATCCGCTGGGGCAGTGCTAGATATCCTCAAATTCCAATGACTGTACTAATAATTTTCTAACCTATAATTATTTACAAGACTACATTCAGCGGCATTAGTCAGGGGTGAGTGCATTCTAAAGTACAAAAGCACTTTGGACCTTAAAACATAGGTGATCTCGCCACAGGCCTAATGTTTTCTTATTTGATGCAATATAGTGACAGTATTTGCTTACTGGTATGACTTTGAGCAGTGATACGGGAACAGTTCTTTAATTTCATTCGTCTACGCTCACCTCGTTCATAAAAGCTCTTACAGAAGGTGCACTCTACTATTTGTCTCAGGGTTACAATTCATTAAGTTAATTATTTTTTACAATTTTTGAGTATATGTTTGAGGTCAACTTTCATGCTAAAATGCAACTGCCATTTTAATCCAACCGTATGGGCACTATACGGAAGAAATGCAATGGGTTAAAGTGTGGAAGTTTATTCACAAGGTCGTCTCTGGAGGAATACCTGGATGCTCTAAAAAATATTGAAAATATTGGGACCCCAAAATTTTCTCTCTTTTATCTCATGGTATTAGATCAGATCTTCATTTCAACGTTGGCCCGAATGCCTGTCCTCATACGAGGCCACTATTAAATTAAACATCCAAGCCAAGACCAGTTATACATGCGGGTATACTGATTAACGGCCGACAATTATGCTGGTATATGCTGGGAGTGATACCATGCTTGGGTCAGTTTTAGACTGTTGACATGCATATCAAATTGTGACGCAAGATAGAATTGAACGTACCAATAGTATACATGAGGTGCATAATTAGTGTTATATTACGCATTGGCACCAAGTTTCAGGCCATGCTGAGAGCGCGTACTGCCTCTTATGAAGTCTTTTAGACGGCATCTGCTCATCGCAAAGCCCTTTTCTGGTACCCAAATGTTTCCAAGTTCCAGCCAAACCCACCATGTAACGAGAACATTTAAAGTACACCCATACCATTCTATAATAATAAATGTAGTACGTACAGGAGTCAAACCTTTTAATTTACCTGTGAGGAGAGTGAGCCGGAATATCCCCCAAATTCACAATAATTCACCATGTAAATTTAAAATAAAAGAACCTTTCAACATAGTTGGAATGAATAGCTGAATAATTGATATACATGTACATTCTAATGCCTTTTAATTGCAAATCGTCCCCGTCCAGGCGTCAATTTCAAGGAAGCTTTTCTTTCACAAAGCACAAATTCAGACATGCCAACGTGAAACGAGCGAGAAATGTGATCTTCACAGAATGTAAAGCAAAAAGTAATTTCCCCCTGAAAGTGACAATATCATTCGACGCGGATGGTTAGCACATTTACTTGAATGAATTCCGCCCTTAATTAGAATCTTACATATTCGTCTATTCAGTGCAATGACGAATTAGCATCTGATGAACTGATCTCCTTATTATTCATGCAGATTTTGGTTACTCCAGGCCACAAGAACTTAAAGCTCATTACAACGAAGCAGGACCTCTCCGAATTGTTCTATTGCTTCGGGGCCAACGCACTCCGGAAATTTCTGTATGAAAACTGTTTCCGTGAAGAGACAGTTTTACTTGAAATACAACCAGCTTGAAAACAATTCTGGGGTTTTGTTTCTACATTGTATAAAGACGTGTCCGAAACGGGATTCCAGAGCTACCGATAGGTCTATTGTCTGCCCGTCTCCACACATTTCCAATGGAGTGAAGACTTAGACCTAGCTCTAGACAAGAGATTCAGATGCAGCCTAAGTTACTTTGGGGGGCTCATACACAGACGAGTGATAACGACATTCGATGTACTGGCAGTTGTCTAACACAGTGGTTTCCCTGGGAAATATTTAGTTCGAGAGCGGACAAACCGCTGGATATATACGGCGATAAGCCGCTGTTCCTCAAGTAATATTTTGGAAAAGTCACTGGGGATGGGTAAAAAACGAATTTTTTAACGACCTTTCACGTCCGGCAATATCGTACCTTGGTCTCTTTGTTCATGCACGTTTGTTTTCACTCGCCGTGCTTTCTTGAAAACGAGCGTGTACAACCTTGCAAAGATTAAACCTCCACGACTCCATCACTGTCCAAAACAAATTTTAATCTTGAAACTATACTTTCCCATGGATTTCACTAAAGTCATGGGAGTTAGATCTTGCTGCGTGCTTTTTAACTTTTTCCTTGCTTTCAAACGACTCAGTTCCATATACAAAACTGAGGGTTCATAGCGGCCAAACGCTCCATCACAGCTTATCCCCGCACAAGATTTCGCGAAGACAGCGAGAACTCTATCACTGACAGGGCCTGCGAATGGCCTAGGCCCTTCAAGTGCACCCTCCGTCAAACGACACTCTATCAAGCTAGCTGTCCCCTGATAGTTACGCCACTGTTGAGCCTTCTCATACAAACGTCAAGAAGAAGGGATAACATTTACATCGATTTCCACTTCCTGAGTTTCATGCCTAAAAGTATCATTTATATACAGGGTGTCCCAGAAAAAAACCAAACCCTGAGGAAAGGGGTTAATATGCCCAAACCATGAGATATGATTATAATGTATAAGGATCCACCCTTGAACTTGGTTCTGTAAAGACCCATCCAACTGTAAGCGGAGGCGGTCTCGACTGCTTCTCTGTACGAACCACATCCAAATATCCTCATGGGCTTCACGTTTTTTTCAATGGTTCCTTACTGTGTTAAAGCAACTACTGCCAAATACCCAATGCAAGGGGTCCATGTAGCCCCATATAAAAACGTGCTGTTAAACTGTGAACAATAGCTTCCCTACGGAGCGCCTTTCCACCTAGCACTTACAGTTTTATCCCGATATGCAATGAAACCGAATGACGTCAAGACTGCAATTCCTGCAACATTTCGATATCCCGTCCAACCAACGTACAATTAGAATTTTTATGTGCACGCCTGTCTTCCTATGATGATTGGAATGTGTTTTGCTGTAGATGAGTCAACCTTATTTCATTCATTTTTTTCTCTACAGTCAATAAACAATTACCACAGTAGATTGCCACGGCAACTGATTGGTTTGTCCGTCGCTCTCAACAAACGTTTTACTTTTCCCTTTTTTCAATCAAGGCCTGTAATTATCGTGATAGGTGTCCCAAACCTGCTCGGCAAAATTGTTTCATGAATGGTAATAAAGCGCACCCCGCGTTTCAAAGGAATTTTTTCTTTACCACAACAATTGCCAGACGTAGCAATTGACAAGTCCACAGTGTATTCAAGAAAAAATAGCTTTAAAGTACATTAGTGAAGTTTTTCAGTCCAAGACTCCTTACACAAGGTACTTGTAAGAAAAAAAATAAAGTCTGCGCGACTCCTCGGTTTGCTGATTGCGGTAATATTTTCAGCGGGAAAAGGGACAGTATAGGCCAACTTCACCTGTGTGTCAACGAAAGAACAGATTCCCATGGGAAAGGGAAGACAGCAAAGGTTCAATATCGTCCTTGTTTAGCATGCAAAGAATCATTACCGGCAGACTGTAAAGCTTTGAGCTTTCGTTTGGCGATCATCGTTTGGTGGGCTGCGTGAGTAAAGCGTGCTCGACAAATTCTGGTGTACTGTAAACTTTCTCTTTTGGCTGTTTTGTCTCACCGCTGAACGTACGATAAGCCGGTCTCTCTGCAAGTGTGAAAGTGAAAGAGCACCGCCCTTG